GCCTGGCCCTTTGGGGCTAGTTCTGATTTTCATTATAAATTTGTTTTGCTTGTACCAATAAGATAAGGGAAAATTGTAGTCACAATATCAAATCTTTCACTTTTATATAGACTTGATCCAATTCTTTTATTTGTATCACCCATAATATCAAACCTTTCAAAAAGTCGTAGCTGAAGCCCAAATAAATGGAAACTGTTATTTTGACCGTTAGTTGACCAAAGAAATAACATTGACCGTAATTTTGATTAATTTTTGAGGATAAAATGGTAACTTTACATTTTTCAACAAAAAAAGGCAATTATGATCTATGAATAATTAAATTAAAAAAAAAACATAAATCAAAACAAAACCCCCTACCCCCATCCCCTTCCCCTTCCCCTTCCCCTTCCCCAATTCCTTTATCCAAAAACCACAACCATTTCCAACAGCCGAAGTCATCGCACCCACACAATGTCGGAGCCACCATCGCTGCAAAATAAAGGTCAACCTCAAACAAGAAGAAATGATGGTGAAACCATGGCTGACACCACTGCACCCATGGATCTTGAAACCATGGCTATTTGCGTTGAAGCAATGGTGGGGAGTGGGGTTGGTTGGTGGCCATGAGAGGTGATTTGTTGGTTAGTGCGGTAAAGGTGGTTGGATATTGGTGATGATGGTACAAATCTTCCACTTCCTCTAATTTTAAATTTATCTTCAAATATGTTGTCGATTTTGGTGGTTTTTGAGGAGTTTGGAATAGTGGGTGATTTTGGTGGCATTGATGCTTGGCGTAGGGATGGCAGTGGGCGGGTTCGGGGCGGGGCCATGCCCTATTTGTCGCCCCGTTTAAAGTTTTTTACTTTTTTAAATTTTTTAAATTTTAAATTATGTTATTATTAGAGAATAAAATATAAATTCAAAATTTTAAAATTCAAAGTAAATACTTGAAATATACAATGTTAAAAATTAAACAATTTAAAATAAAATTACGTTTTGACTAAATTTTATTTCTTTTGTAATTAATTAAAATTTTACATTTGTATTTTATTATTTAATAATAATATAACTTGAAATTAAAAAAAAATTTCACGGAGCGGGGTCGGGGCGGGGTACCCTCACCCCGCGACAGGGCACCCCATCCTGCCCCGTCAACCCATCGGGACGGGTTTTTTTGCCCCATTTGGGGGGACGGGCCGAGTTTTTTTTGCCATCACTAGCTTGGCGGGTGCCAACGCTTTTGGTGGGTTTTAGTTTTGGTGTGAGTAAGGTGTGAGGGGTTAGTGGAGAAGAAGATGAATAGTGTTTAGGTATTTTTTTTTTTCATAGATTATAATTGTATTTTTAAACAAAGTTACCTTTTTATCTTGTTAGTATTAGTCAAAATTATTATCGATGTTAATTTTTTGGTCAACTAATGATCAAATTAACAGTTTCCAATCATTTGGACTTCAGCTGTGACATTTTGAAAGATAAAATATTCTGGGTGATACAAATAAAAGATTTGGATCAAGTTCGCATAAAATTGAAATATTTGATGCCGTGGCTGCAATATTCCCATAACATAACGGATATATTGTAACATATTTCCAAATAAAACATCGTCAATTCTTTCCTTTTTCCAGGTTCTTGCAATAAAGATTGTTACCTTGATCGTATCAATACAGGGCTATAAATTACAACGCAAACTCTCAAAGAAAGAGAGAGGGTTTCTGCTGGAGAATGTTTGAAACCATGAAAAGGAAGGTTAGAGTTTCATACTCAGATCCTGATGCCACCGATTCTTCATCAAATGAAGGTGGTGATGGACCAGAAAAATCGAAGAGGTTGGTTCATGAGATTCTAGGAAAAAATCTTGACGAGAAGGGTTCCGGAAAAATTCGTCCACGAATCAAGAAATTCAATTCGAGGGTTCTTGATCAGAATGGAATGGGAAAATTAATTGGGGTGCGGAAGAGAAAATCAGGCAAATACAGTGCTGAAATCAGAGATCCTTTCAAGAAGAAACGGGTTTGGTTGGGGACTTACAACACCGTTGAAGAGGCCTCTGAGGTTTACCTGGCCAAGAAGCGTGAATTTGAGGAAAAACAGAGTGCTGGATGGGGAATTGATTGTGGTCCTTGTGATAATTCCTCCGAAGATTCTTCACCTTCGGTCAATGAATTTGATACCCTGGATTCTCCGAAAGAAGTAAGCTCGACAGAAAGGGAAGTTTTTGAGGAAAACAAGGCTGCTTCAAACGAGGGACAGAATTTTTCACTTCCAGACCCGTCAGGCAAGTTTGGGATGCTGTTTGGTGTGCAAATTATTGACAACCACGGATTTCTCTTGGGCGAATTCAGCAAGTTAGACGACTTCAGCATTCGTGAATCGGAATAAGACTGTTTTCCTGAACTTTTTTTTTTTTTAATTCTTGGCTAGTTTTTCAAATTATTGAATCCGCACATTGGATCTGTATTTGAAATCACATGTATATTAATGGAAGTTGAATGACAACTCGAAGCTCTAACATTTTTTTTTAAGAGCATGTTTGGGAGTGATTTTAAGAATTGATTTTTTGACTGTTAAGAGAAAAGTGGGATTCACCTGTGAAAGAAGAAGTCAAATATGACGGCTGGAATATTGAAATAACGGTCAAAAAAATCAATTGTTTGGACCAAAAAATTACTTCCAAACAGGCTGTAAATTTTCTCTAAACTGTATATACGACTTTCTGCAACATATATCTAATAAATTATGTGTGAAATTCTGTTTGCTTGAAACAAATATGTATAAAAATTAGCCGTCATTAAGTGACAACTAATTGAGAGAATAAACTAATTTTGAGAGGTGACAATGAAATCACACAACGAAGGTCCAAAAGTCTGGCTTCATTATTTCATTAACACTACTCCAATATTGTCACACGTACACAAATATTATGTCACAGACCCGAGGATTATAATCAATTTATGATAGTGTCCACACTTCGTTTTCTTGACAAACATTTTTCTATCCACGTGCCTAACACCTAATCTGGAGGGGTAAAAATGTCATTTGAGTGCATATTTTTGGTAAGGCAAATTGAAATTACAATTTATTAAAATTAACTGCCCGTAGGAGTAGAGTGAACTTGTTACGGGTGGTTTATAGTTTAGAGTGCTTTCAAATATTATTGTGTTGTTTAGAGATGCGGGTGATGCCTCGTGTCATTTTATCCCAGAATTTGGAATAAAGTGGCTCATCAGTTGATATCCTTTATATAATTATTTATGTTCTCTGTAGTTTGATACGATATGCAATATATAAAGTCTATTTTACCTTAGAAATATTACTAAAATTTGTACAAACATGATTGATATCTCATATTTCGGCGTATTTTTTTTAGACTATTCTAAATCAACTTTACCTTTTACCAATCGAACTAGTTGGACTGCAGATTGTTCTCCTTAATTGATTGTGTGATTGATATTTACATGGTATGGTAAGGAGAACAAACATGAATTAACACTCACATTGACAAGAGGGACAAAGTTATGGCATCAAAACTTGCCGCCATCAGTTAAGATAAAGTGATGGGGGCATGGAACCATACTAAAACCCAAGAAAAAAGGGTATATGGGACCCAAATAAACACTACTGTCACATGCAAATGCAAGTCATCAACGTCACGTCGTATACCTTTGTGCCCCTCTCTGCTAATATAAATCCAACTCCCCAAAGGGTCAATAGCCAAGTGCGTCATTTTCCCCTATCATCATGTTTTCGTGTAGAATTTTGCTACTGTTTTTACTTCTTTGCATTCTTGGAATTGATGTAGCCATCAGTACTTCAGCAAAAATTGGCAAAGGATACCATTTGATTTCAATAGAAAAAGCCCCCAATGGTGGCCTTGTAGGGCTTCTTCAAGTCAAGCAGAAAAATAATATCTATGGCCCTGATATTCCTCTCCTGCAGCTCTATGTTAAGTAAGTTTTACTCAATAACGCAACATTCATGTGTATATATGGCTAAATTTCTAAACTGAACCTTAACTTTTTTTACTTTTTTAATTTTCTTTGTTTTTCAGGCATGAAACGGGTACCCGTTTAAGGGTTCACATTACTGATGCAAAAAAGCAAAGATGGGAGGTTCCTTACAATCTTTTACCAAGAGAAAAGCCTCCTGCAGTGAAACAAACATCTGGTATATCGCTAAAGAATTCTTACACACCAAAAGCTAAAGAATATGTAGGAAGTGAGTTAATATTTACCTACACAACAGATCCTTTTACTTTTTCTGTAAAAAGAAAATCAAACGGTCAGACCCTTTTTGATTCTAGATCAGAAGAGTCAGACCCTTATGGTGATTTGGTGTTTAAAGATCAGTATCTTGAGATTTCCACAAAATTGCCTAACGATGCTTCACTCTATGGTTTGGGAGAAAACACACAGCCCCATGGGATCAAATTGTATCCAAATGATCCTTACACTTTGTACACTACTGACATCTCAGCCATTAATCTAAATGCTGATTTATATGGGTCGCACCCGGTGTACATGGACCTGAGGAATGTGAATGGTGAGGCCTCTGCCCATGCAGTTCTGTTGTTGAACAGCAATGGGATGGATGTATTTTACAGAGGGAATTCATTGACATATAAAGTGATTGGGGGTGTTCTTGACTTTACATTCTTCTCTGGTCCTACACCCCTCTCTGTAGTTGATCAGTATACAGCTTTCATAGGCAGGCCAGCTGCAATGCCCTACTGGGCTTTTGGTACGTCTTTTAACTCTCATTTCTATGTCATTTCTTTCATTTTTCCAATTTATTTTGGTTAGCACTTGCTCATAATGTTGGTAGGTAAAGGTCTTTAAGTTCTTTTTAGTGTCAGAACTGATAAAGGTACTTTTTTTATTCATTTATTTGGGTTAGAATTTTTTAACTGTATTGGTAGGTAAAGATGTTAAAGTTCTTTTATGAGAAAAATGATAGAGGTAGACACGAAAGATAATGTGCCTGGATAATGATCGAATACTTACTCTCATTTGTCTTCTCATGGAGTACAGCTCTCATTCAAATATCTAATTTGTAAACTAGGCATGTCCATTAAGCTTCGACAGATCGAAACACACTAATGATTCCTTCGTCTTCTTGAGTCAAAAGTGAATAACTCTTTGGTGCCAAGAAGATGCCTCTCAGATCAAAACACACTCTATTGCCATTGTTAGTGAAGGGTTCCTCAAACTAATAATAAGTAATTGCGCTACATATAGTTGCCACCAGTGGATTCAAATTATCACAAGTATAGGGTTGTCTAGTTATATATATTACTATTCATTTTATACTAATGAGGGTTTGTTATTGGTAAATTTAATTTGAATCACTTTCTCTTTATGGATTAAGTTTGTTGTAATGAATTGTAATCCTATTAATTCGCATTCTTTTGATTCAAATGTTTTGGGTTCCTTCCTTAAGTTTTGTAGCATAAATGCTGTGGATCTATCTACTAGTGTGACAAGAATTGGAATTATTAATGATTTTGAGTCAATAATCTCATATAGTCAAGTGGAACTATATTTTTTTTCTTGCAAGTCATCTTTATGCACACCACTAGAACATGTTTGGCAAATTTTAAAGGGCTTACCATAAAAGTAAATTTTGTTTGTAAAAAAGATTAATTTACAAAATTTTATTCGACAAGAAAAACTTAAAGTAACTTATAATTCTTTTGTAAGTTTCTTTTTAAGCTTAGCCAAAATGCATAACGTGATATTTCGATGTCTGGCAGTACTTAAAAGTGACTTTTTAACTACTTTTCTCAACAACTTGCCAGATTTGCATCGGTATAGGATATTTCCGCCAAACATAAGATATTTCTTGATTCCTAGATTTGTTATTTGAATTTTGATCCAAAAACATTTGATCTATGATAGAGTTGGTCTTGTTGGAAGCATGCGGGAGTGGGATTGCCTATGTGTGGACATTTTTGAAACACATTTCTTGGTGTCTGTAATAGAGATAAACTCAGGTTGGTGGATTGGTCCAACAATGTCTGTTCTCTTCTCAAGTAAAGTTTGTCTTTGCACATTCCCCTTCCAAACTCCAATAATTCTGCAGTAACAAGTTTTGACTGAATATGACCATCTCACAAATCTTTAAAACCCTCATTACATCATGTGTTCGAAAATCAAGCTTTAAAAGTTAGTAGTTTGATCTTTCTTGAAACAAAAGATCATTACCTTTAGTTGATGTTGATAAACACTAAAGATATAAACATAATTGGGATAACGAAAGTAAAAAAACCTCTCGAGCGGTTCTGGAGTAGGCATCTTTAGCCCAATTATACACTCTTAGTAGAAAGCAACTACTGGACCACTAAGAAAGCTCTGCCACTGGAACTCTGCATTGTGACCATTTACATGTGGTGTGCTTAAAATCCCCGATCTGGACTAAAACAACTTTGTTTTTATTTAGGTCCTACCCTTTTAATTACACTATAAGGGCGCCCTTGTCGGCAAGTATATTTTCAAGCTCGAACTTACATGTCTAATATTTCCTGGTCTACTTATGGATGGTATCGTTGTTACAATGGGTCATTATTCTTGCCACTTACACATTTTTGGTTTGGGGCTAGCAATTGAATTTGTTATTAATATTTTAAATCATACGAATTCGTATGCAATCTACCAAAATATTCGAAGGACATGGATATAATGATCCTCTTACGTTATTTATTACTTGGCTGCTGGTAATTGTTTCTAAGAACTAAAATATATTTGCTTTTATATGGAATAGATGGCTTCTGGTGTTCCAATGTTTCAGTTGAAAACTTCCAATGACATTAGAACTAAGTTCTTTTCTTTTACGTTGCCACAGGTTTCCATCAATGCAGATGGGGTTACCATAATTTGTCGGTAGTAGAAGATGTGGTCGAGAGTTATAGGAAGGCTAAAATTCCACTAGATGTTATATGGAATGATGATGATCACATGGATGGACATAAGGATTTCACCCTTAACCCGACCAACTACCCTCGTCCAAAACTGTTGGCATTCTTAGACAAAATTCATGCTCGAGGAATGAAGTACATTGTCATCATAGATCCTGGAATTGGTGTCGACAAGAGTTATGGCGTCTACCAAAGGGGCCTAGCCAATGATGTCTTCATTAAGTATGAAGGTAAGCCGTACCTAGCCCAAGTCTGGCCAGGAGCACTTAACTTCCCCGACTACCTTAATCCAAAAACTGTTGAATGGTGGGGTGATGAAATCCGTCGTTTCCATGAACTTGTACCCGTGGATGGTCTATGGATTGACATGAACGAAGCTTCCAACTTCTGTACTGGTCTTTGCACACTCCCGGAAGGTAGGATTTGTCCCAATGGAACTGGTCCTGGTTGGATATGCTGTCTCGACTGC